AGCCTGGTGTGGTCTGATCTGGTCCAGTCTGGTCTGAGCCCATTCTGGTCTGATCAGTTCTGGGTCTGAGCCCGGTCTGGTCTGCTCTGTTCAGTTCTGGGTCTGAGCCCGGTCTGGTCTGGTCCGGTCTGGTCTGAGCCCATTCTGGTCTGATCAGTTCTGGGTCTGAGCCCGGTCTGGTCTGCTCTGTTCAGTTCTTGGTCTGAGCCCGGTCTGGTCTGGTCCGGTCTGGTCTGAGCCCATTCTGGTCTGATCAGTTCTGGGTCTGAGCCCGGTCTGGTCTGCTCTGTTCAGTTCTTGGTCTGAGCCCGGTCTGGTCTGGTCCGGTCTGGTCTGAGCCCATTCTGGTCTGATCAGTTCTGGGTCTGAGCCCGGTCTGGTCTGCTCTGATCAGTTCTGGGTCTGAGCCCGGTCTAATCTGGTCTGGTCAGTTCTTGGAACTGAGCCTGGTGTGGTCTGATCTGGTCCAGTCTGGTCTGAGCCCATTTTGGTCTGATCAGTTCTGGGTCTGAGCCCGGTCTGGTCTGCTCTGTTCAGTTCTTGGTCTGAGCCCGGTCTGGTCTGGTCCGGTCTGGTCTGAGCCCATTCTGGTCTGATCAGTTCTGGGTCTGAGCCCGGTCTGGTCTGCTCTGTTCAGTTCTTGGTCTGAGCCCGGTCTGGTCTGGTCCGGTCTGGTCTGAGCCCATTCTGGTCTGAGCAGTTCTGGGTCTGAGCCCGGTCTGGTCTGCTCTGTTCAGTTCTTGGTCTGAGCCCGGTCTGGTCCGGTCTGATCTGAGCCCATTCTGGTCTGATCAGTTCTGGGTCTAAGCCCGGTCTAATCTGGTCTGGTCAGTTCTTGGAACTGAGCCTGGTGTGGTCTGATCTGGTCCAGTCTGGTCTGATCAGTTCTGGGTCTGAGCCCGGTCTGGTCTGCTCTGTTCAGTTCTGGGTCTGAGCCCGGTCTGGTCTGGTCCGGTCTGGTCTGAGCCCATTCTGGTCTGATCAGTTCTGGGTCTGAGCCCGGTCTGGTCTGCTCTGTTCAGTTCTGGGTCTGAGCCCGGTCTGGTCTGGTCCGGTCTGGTCTGAGCCCATTCTGGTCTGATCAGTTCTGGGTCTGAGCCCGGTCTGGTGTGCTCTGTTCAGTTCTTGGTCTGAGCCCGGTCTGGTCTGGTCCGGTCTGGTCTGAGCCCATTCTGGTCTGATCAGTTCTGGGTCTGAGCCCGGTCTGGTCTGCTCTGTTCAGTTCTGGGTCTGAGCCCGGTCTGGTCTGGTCCGGTCTGGTCTGAGCCCATTCTGGTCTGATCAGTTCTGGGTCTGAGCCCGGTCTGGTCTGCTCTGTTCAGTTCTTGGTCTGAGCCCGGTCTGGTCTGGTCCGGTCTGGTCTGAGCCCATTCTGGTCTGATCAGTTCTGGGTCTGAGCCCGGTCTGGTCTGCTCTGTTCAGTTCTTGGTCTGAGCCCGGTCTGGTCTGGTCCGGTCTGAGCCCATTCTGGTCTGAGCAGTTCTGGGTCTGAGCCCGGTCTGGTCTGCTCTGTTCAGTTCTGGGTCTGAGCCCGGTCTGGTCTGGTCCGGTCTGATCTGAGCCCATTCTGGTCTGATCAGTTCTGGGTCTGAGCCCGGTCTGGTGTGAGCCCGGTCTGATCAGTTCTGGGTCTGAGCCCGGTCTGGTCTGCTCTGTTCAGTTCTGGGTCTGAGCCCGGTCTGGTCTGGTCCGGTCTGATCTGAGCCCATTCTGGTCTGATCAGTTCTGGGTCTGAGCCCGGTCTGGTGTGAGCCCGGTCTGATCAGTTCTGGGTCTGAGCGCGGTCTGGTCTGAGCCCGGTCTGGTTTGGTCTGGTCTGGTCTGAGCCCATTCTGGTCTGGTCAGTTCTTGGTCTGAGCCCGGTCTGATCAGTTCTGGGTCTGAGCCCGGTCTGGTTTGGTCCGGTCTGGTCTGAGCCCATTCTGGTCTGGTCAGTTCTGGGTCTGAGCCCGGTCTGGTCTGATCTGGTCCGGTCTGGTCTGGTCTGGTCAGTTCTGGGTCTGAGCCGGTCTGGTCTGATCTGGTCCGGTCTGGTCTGGTCAGTTCTGGGTCTGAGCCCGGTCTGGGCTTAGTTTAACTGCTTCTACTGTTCTCATTAGTTAGTCACTTTGGATAAAAGCAACTGCTAAATGAATAAATGTAAATGGTCTGGTCTGAGCTTGTTCTGGTCTGCTCTTTTCAGTTCTGGGTCTGAGCCTGGTGTGGTCTGTTTGGTCTGTTCTGGTCTGGTCTGGTCTGGGTGTGAGGCCTCTGAGAGGAAGTCCTCCCTGCTCCAGTTTCTGACCTCGTACAGCCTGAAGAATCTCCTTTATCCTCATTTATTTCCTCAGTGCTTGCATGTCAGTTTTTAGTTTCCTATCACTGAACACACACTGCTCACTGTTACACACTGATAAGGGGAATGAATGCACAGGGGAGTGTGTGATCTGTACAATTAAAACCCTTATAAAAGTATATCTGTGACTGCATGTTGATTCACTCACACACACAAAGGAAAAAAAATTAACCTCTTCTACATTCGTTCCTTAAGCTGTTACTGCCTCCAGTCAAAGGGCTGTGAGTGTATCTTCCTTCCACGTGTGGGTAAGTGGTAAGAGCTTACTACAGCATTTAGTCATATACTGTGCCCATGACTGTGCTGGTGGACACTTTAGATGCTACGAAATATCTCTTACATTTTTAAACATTTATTTTACACATCTTGTTAAATTCATGTGATATTTTTGAATAAACAATGAGGCACTAGATCAGGGAAGGGCAATCAAGTTCCTGCCGATCACCAGAGTAATTAGAGCATAGGATCGTGTGTGCTACTGTCAATGAGTAAAAAGAAAAATTGAGAAACATTTTCCAGTCAAGATGGAAAAATCGACGATCATTTTAATGAGTTTAGAAAAAAAACTGTAATGAAGTATTTTTTATTAAAAATGCTTTTATTTAAATCGACATTACACCACTGCTCACAAAGAGAAGAGTGAAAAATACACCAGTGATGCCCAAATTGCTCTAATCTCCAATTTAAAATACATCATCAGTAAAACCTTTTTTGCCAAATTCATTTGCACTCTTGATGCTCAGTATATTTGGCAGCATGTATGAAAGCACATCAAATCGAGAGAGAGAGAGAGAGGCTAACAGATGACACTCTTTCAGATTGGCATTGATTCAGTTGTGATTTTTTTGATGGTGGGGAGGTTGTCTAAACTAATCTAAAAAGAATGTGTTTGGGGGGGTGGTCTGGTATGTAAATGTATGCACTGAATTGTTCTTATATTCAGTATTTTTATTATTTTAATAACTGTTTTTGAATAAGCACTTTAAACAGTAGAGCGTTCTTTATCTGAGAGTCTATTGTGATCTCTGATAATACCTAGAATATCTAAATCGACCGTTGGCCGTAGATCCTTTTCCTATTTAGCCCCAAAACTTTGGAAAACTCTTCCTAACATTGTCCGGGAAGCAGACACACTCTTTCAGTTCAAATCTAGACTAAAAACACATCTCTCTGGCCTATAACACGTTTACCACAGTCTGCCGGATCAATAACTGTATTCTAGAGCTGCCAAAGCAATCTCTGTTACTTTAATTTCCTTTTATCACTGTAAAGCTTATCAACAATCTATATAGTTAAAAACGCTACATGAAGTTGACTTGAATTGAGAACTCTAGGCAACTATTCAAAAACAGGCCCTTTGTACATTTGCTTGTCACAAATTGATTTGCTTGTCAATTAACAATGAAGTTGCCCATTTGAATTTGCAAAACTGCATAAGATTTAGAAAGAGTTAATAAACTCTTTAAAAACACATTGCATTAATTGTACATTGATTGCAATTAAGTATTCCACATTAATTGTACATATAAATGAAGATGACGTATTGTTTCTGAGAAAAAAGAACACAGATTTAATTAATTTGAAGTGATTGTGCTAAATGTTACTCTCTCAGATATAAGAAAAAATCCCTGCTATTTCTTGCTTTTGCCACCGTACACAGACCTCCAGGGCCCTATGCTGATTTCCTAAAAGAGTCTCTCAAAAAACATCGACACTGCATTCATTTTTGGAGATTTTAACATTCACTTAGATAATCAAAAGGATGCGTTAGGGGTTATGTTTACAGATGTACTAAACTTCTTTGGGGTCAAGCAAAATGTCACTCGACCCAATCATCCTTTTAATCATAAACTAGGATTAATTATATTGCATAGAGTCTGTAACGCATAGAACCGGCGAACAGTTCAACAATATTTAATAACATAAAATAAAACAAATACAGATCGAAAGTAAAAGACAGCTGCCCTGACAAAGGCTGTATCTCAATATTGGTTTTACTTGCTGCGTTCAACACTATACATCATAAAATACCCTTAGATACTACAAAATTAGAATTAGTTTCCACTGTTATACCGATGATACTCTTATTATTTTATACTTGATTATATTTCATCAGGACCAGATTAAATCTCTAAATTATCCAAGTTTACAGAGTGTGTTTAGGATATAAAATAAATGTGCATGATTATTACCATATACGCCAGTTATATCAGATCAGATGCACATGACTATCTTTTCTTAATGTGAGTGAGTGAGTGCAAGCGGTGAGCGAGGACCAGTGCGCTCGTGACAACTTCTCACCAGCAAAATGCATATTTGAACTGAGATTAGGATGCATACGGTCTGTCCATTACTTTTTCTTATTTTCTTCTACAGCAAACGAGTGGAAACCCAAGCACAACATCGAAATAATTCATGCAGTTCATATATTATCTAAAAACAAGGCATTGCTGCCATTCTGATGTCAGCCATTGAGATGCCGATTTCATCAAACTTTCAAATAAATCCCAAAGGGAAACACAAACAATGAAAAGGTGTATGAAATGCCAGATTAGGAGGTTTGATTGATTCTCTCAGGAAGGGCTGCTGGCGGAATATCTCTCTCGTCTCAAAGCGGGAGCCTCCCTTCAGGAGCCGCAATTAATGACATGCGATTGTTTAAGCTGTGGCCTTTCCCATCCTCAGCACACAGAGAGGAAACAGGAAAAGGAACTCCAACTCCCTGTGGCTGAGCAGAGCGAGGGGTGGAGACGCTGGAGGAAAAGAAAGGGAGAGTTCATTTGAGTCGGGATCGAGGGATGTGTGCGGACGGCCGTTTCTGACAGACACTCGGTCTCCGGGACTGGACGCTCTTCTCTGTGGATGTGCTCGAGCGGGGACCATGAGTCACCTGACCTCCGTCACGCTGTGTCTGATTGGCTGCTTGTTCGCAGGTAACGCTGGGCTCCCTTCTCTCTGTCTCTCTGGTTTCTGCTCTATGGGACTCCAGGGGTTTGTGCTTTGTCTGGATTTGTTGTATCGGTGGTGGCTCGGATCATAAAGATGAAACTTCTGATATCATGTTTTCAAAATATTATGAACCATGTAAAGAACAGAACGTTAGAGAGGTAGGCTAATATTGTGTTTAAATTTAGATTATTGATGTATTGTTTTGGTTAGTGAGATAAAGTATAAATATTGGTTTCACTTTATTTGGATGGTCCCTTTAACACATTCTGTTGACGATTATTAACGTTGCACCAACATCTCTACTAACTTTCACTAGAGTATTAGTAGAGTATTAGTAGAGGAGTATTAGTAGAGTATTAGTAGAGGAGTATTAGTAGAGTATTAGTAGAGGAGTATTAGTAGAGTATTAGTAGAGTATTAGTAGAGTATTAGTAGAGGAGTATTAGTAGAGTATTAGTAGAGTATTAGTAGAGTATTAGTAGAGGAGTATTAGTAGAGTATTAGTAGAGGAGTATTAGTAGAGTATTAGTAGAGTATTAGTAGAGTATTAGTAGAGGAGTATTAGTAGAGTATTAGTAGAGTATTAGTAGAGTAAAGTATTAGTAGACTGGTAGGGATAGAATAAGTTGACATGTAGTTACAGAGAAATGTCTGTTCACAATAGCATCACAATAAAGAGTTAGCAGATATTAAGCAGACAGTCTACTAATACTCTGATGAGAGTTAGTTGACATGTAGTTGCAGAGATACTTATAGTCAACAGAATGTTCAAAAGGGACCATCAAAATAAAGTGTTAACATTGACATTTTTATGTAGCAGATTTTGCAAAAGTAGTTGACTAAAACTTTTAGTCTATTCATTTTTCGTTGTTGAATTTCATTTCATTGTTGTGTGTGTGTGTGTGTGTGTGTGTGTGTGTTGTAACCATCTACAATAACTCTTTGGCCGTTTCTTGCACTACACATGATCCATGTCCAATTATGATAAACAATCTTTTGTTTTGAGTTTCTTTACAAGTTTCTGTATCATGATACCACGGAAATGGAAAGGGGACAGCAATGATTTAATACTTTGCTGGCTCCAGCTTAATTCAATAAATAAGAATAATGTAGGTTTAATGCCGTTGACCGGTTCATTCTGAGACCCCGACACCAGATCTTCCTCCACACGATTACACTGACAAATCCTCAAAAATATTCCCATCACCAGTAATATGAGCAAGAGAGTGAGCCTGACCGACACATGAGACATTTATGACCAACATGCGAAATGAACATGAAAATTGCCCGATTTATGCTGATTGTTGCAGAAAAAGAAGTAATACAAAACTGATCAAATAGAATTTGAACTACACGCCATTGCTGCTTAATCCTTAAATATTACACAGTGATGATGTACAAGGCATACAGTATATGTAGAATAAAGTATTCACCTTTATTTATTTACAAAACTGATTTTTACAGCAGCTTTACTGAGATAAAAAGGGAAATTATGGATTTCATGTGCTGTTCAGCTGAAGATAGCTCAGTGTTGATTCAGATCTGTTGTAAAGATCATCCGTTATTAAATTAGTTTCTTTAATAAGTAGACCTGGCGATCAGTGAACAGTAAACAACAGTGATGTCATCATCAGCTCAGTTCAGTTTCAGTGCGGTCAGATCAACAACACTGTTGGATATTAAGTGTCCACAACTAATGAACTAAACTCAAACATCAGTGACAGAATAGAGGAAAAAGCTTGAGAGAAACCAGACTCAGTTCTCCTCTGATAAAGCAACATTAAGTGGTTTCATTCCTGGCTGTATCACTGGTCAAGATTGATGTCATTCAGAATATTTTTTCCAGTTCTTTCTGCGTGAAGATTGGTATACGGTACGCCAGCATGTGTTGGCTATAACCCCATAGAGTGATGTCAGATGTGAAGAGAGACTCCACGTTCAAGTTCCCTCACTAATCAGTAAAGCAGAACAATAATATCAAGCTAGTGTTGTACTACTACACTCAAAGATAAGAAAGAAGTCATTATTCATCTTGACAGCCGTGTTTGGTTTAAAACACCTTCACACTCACACATTCTCACAGATTCTTTCCCCAACCAATCCAGATACAATATCTCAACTGCACACACAGTGATTTAAGGTGTACAGGAACAATCACAGTTTTCAAAACCCTTCTCAATCAGATCTCGATTTCCAACACCACGAGTAACACCGTCACCAGTGAGTTTCGCTGAGCTTGCCTTCTGTATGTGTGCAATGCTTTCAGCTGTGAATATGAGTGTGAGAGGAGTGAGAAGGGTTATCGAGAAACAGATGAGAGCCCAGAGGAGGCCAACGAGGCCCGATCGAGCCCCGGACGAGAAACTGATTAAAACACACCTAATGTGTGTTTCTGTTTCTGAGTCTTAAGTCGGCTGTATTTCCCTGTCATGGTAGTTTTATGGATGTATTTCAAAGTGTTGAAGTGTTTGAGTCCTGCAGTGTTTCATAGGTCATTATAATTACACACAGAGAGTTAGAGTCGGTTCGAGTCTCGTAATGTTCATGCCACATTAAACAGGCACATGATCTCCATATTAAAAGCATCATGAATTGTTTGCACACTCCCTGAAAAATAATTGAGAACTGTGAGAAAGAACTTGAGAAAGAAGAGTTAGCTATTGGCAAGGCAAGTTTATTTAAATAGACATTTCATACACAATGCTTCAAAGTGCTTTAGAAGGAATTGAAAACAATCAATATAAATAGCAATAATTAAAACAGTTAAAACTAAAAATAAAATAAAATAATGTAATACCCGTATATGAGATGGAAGAGATTGAGCTGGTTTACGGTGCTAAAAGCTATTGACATGATGATGAAACATGGGATGACATTTGGTTTAATGCTAAGAAAATATTTGTACATGCACAAGAGAAACACAATTTAAAATCATACACGGCAGACATTTTTAACCCCTTGCTATCGTCTCTGTTTTTAAAGCTGCAGTCCGTAGCTTTTTTTGTTAAAAATTAATATTTAATATAATATTTATATTCCAAAATACATATTTGAGAAAATACATAACCAGCCAGTGTTCAAAACTCTCTGCTTACCGTAGCTCGACTCAAAGCGGTACGCTTGTAATAATGTTTTTAATTCCAGTCGTGGTGGTTTTCAGTTCTGCATGTCTTTGCATCATTATCAAGTCAAGTATATTTATAAAGCAGCTTCACAGTATCCATCAAAACATAAGGTAACACTTTATTTCGATAGTCCACTTTAGACATTGTACTAACAATAAGTAACTTTTCAACTACATGTCAACTAACTATCATTAGAGTATTAGTAGACTTTCAGCTTAATATCTGCTAACTCTTTATTTTTTTGGTCCCCCAACAGACATTCAACTGACTATAAGTAACTTGGTCACTAGAAGTAAACTTATTCTCCTAACCCAAAGCCTAACACCTAACCCATAACCTAACAGTCTACTGGCAGTCTACTATAATATACTAATACTCTAATGAGAGTTAGTTGACATGTAGTTGAAAAGTTACTTATAATTAGTAGAACGTCTAAAGTGACTATCGAAATAAAGCGTAACCAAACATAATAATAACAAGGAGGAAAAATGCCAGAGGAAATATATATAATATATATAAATATATATATTTAAAATATTTAACTCTCCCAGCCAGCTCCCCTCCTTGTCTGAAATATGATCCTTAAACACGTGTCCAATCTGTTGAGAGTGAGGAGTCACGTGCCGATCCGGGCGGGGTCTGAGCCGTTCGTGTCACAGTGTCTGGTTGTGTTTCCCTTGTTTGTCACTAGAGGTCCTCGTTCTCACGGTGTCCTTCTCATTTGACTTCATTTCCCAGCATTCTGTCTGTCACTGTCACTCATCTGTTTTCTGTAATCATTGTTCCCAGCTGTTCATTGTTAGTCTTGTTAGATCTTTGTATATATTCCCTGTCTGTGTTAGTATGTGCACAGAGTCCTTGTTAGATGTCATTGCACTTTACTATACTATGAGCACTATGGGCTCTATGGGCACTATGGGCTCTATGGGCTCTATGGGCTCTATGGGCACTGTGGGCACTGTGGGCTCTATGGGCACTGTGGGCACTGTGGGCACTATGGGCTCTATGGGCACTATGGGCTCTATGGGCTCTATGGGCTCTATGGGCACTGTGGGCACTGTGGGCTCTATGGGCACTGTGGGCACTGTGGGCACTATGGGCTCTATGGGCACTGTGGGCACTGTGGGCTCTATGGGCACTATGGGCTCTATGGGCTCTATGGGCACTATGGGCTCTATGGGCTCTATGGGCTCTATGGGCACTATGGGCTCTATGGGCACTATGGGCTCTATGGGCACTGTGGGCACTGTGGGCTCTATGGGCACTATGGGCTCTATGGGCACTATGGGCTCTATGGGCACTATGGGCTCTATGGGCACTATGGGCTCTATGGGCTCTATGGGCTCTATGGGCACTGTGGGCACTATGGGCTCTATGGGCACTATGGGCTCTATGGGCTCTATGGGCTCTATGGGCACTGTGGGCACTGTGGGCACTATGGGCTCTATGCACACTATGGGCTCTATGGGCACTATGGGCTCTATGGGCTCTATGGGCACTGTGGGCACTATGGGCTCTATGGGAACTGTGGGCACTGTGGGCTCTATGGGCACTATGGGCTCTATGGGCTCTATGGGCACTGTGGGCACTGTGGGCACTATGGGCTCTATGCGCACTATGGGCTCTATGGGCACTATGGGCTCTATGGGCTCTATGGGCACTGTGGGCACTATGGGCTCTATGGGCACTGTGGGCACTGTGGGCTCTATGGGCACTATGGGCTCTATGGGCTCTATGGGCTCTATGGGCACTGTGGGCACTGTGGGCACTATGGGCTCTATGCGCACTATGGGCTCTATGGGCTCTATGGGCACTATGGGCACTATGGGCTCTATGGGCTCTATGGGCTCTATGGGCACTATGCGCACTATGGGCTCTATGGGCTCTATGGGCACTATGGGCTCTATGGGCATTATGGGCATTATGGGCACTATGGGCACTATGGGCTCTATGGGCTCAATGGGTACTATGGGCTCTATGGGCTCTATGGGTACTATGGGCTCTATGGGCTCTATGGGCTCTATGGGCACTATGGGCTCTATGGGCTCTATGGGCACTATGCGCACTATGGGCTCTATGGGCACTGTGGGCACTGTGGGCTCTATGGGCACTGTGGGCACTGTGGGCACTATGGGCTCTATGCGCACTATGGGCACTATGGGCACTATGCGCTCTATGGGCTCTATGGGCACTATGGGCTCTATGGGCTCTATGGGCACTGTGGGCACTATGGGCTCTATGGGCACTGTGGGCACTGTGGGCTCTATGGGCACTGTGGGCACTGTGGGCACTATGGGCTCTATGCGCACTATGGGCTCTATGGGTTCTATGGGCTCTATGGGCACTGTGGGCACTGTGGGCTCTATGGGCACTGTGGGCACTATGGGCTCTATGCGCACTATGGGCACTATGGGCACTATGCGCACTATGGGCTCTATGGGCTCTATGGGCACTATGCGCACTATGGGCTCTATGGGTTCTATGGGCTCTATGGGCACTATGGGCTCTATGGGCATTATGGGCATTATGGGCACTGTGGGCACTATGGGCTCTATGGGCACTGTGGGCACTGTGGGCTCTATGGGCACTGTGGGCACTGTGGGCACTATGGGCTCTATGCGCACTATGGGCACTATGGGCACTATGCGCACTATGGGCTCTATGGGCTCTATGGGCACTATGGGCTCTATGGGCATTATGGGCTCTATGGGCTCTATGGGCACTATGGGCTCTATGGGCATTATGGGCATTATGGGCACTATGGGCACTCTGGTTGGTTTCTTGTCTGTTTATGTTTTATTTCTGGTTTTAGACTGCTTTGATTATTGACCCCTGGCTGACTACGGATTTGGATTACCCTTGTTTTGGAATAAACTGCTGCTTTTGGATCTTCTGTAATAATCTTCTGTCCCCTGTGTGTGTTCGTGGCAGTTCGGCCATGATGGGAGGAGACACTATCGGTTGCCAGGGGCAACAACTTCAGAATTTCACAAAGGGGCGACTAAACATTCCAGATATAGCGAAAGAGAGCCAGCGCAGTGTTTGTTTACATTTTAGCGACACACGGCAGTTTCTTTGGAAGATATGGAGAAGAAATATAAATGAAAGGGGTTCTATCGGGAGAGACTGAATAACAATGCTTGCCAGCTGAAACTGCTTGCCAATAAACTAAGAGCAGCAACAGCGAGCAAAGAATGATTTCAAAAGCAACACATTTCAGCAGAGTTCGCCTTTTATTTAACACAAATGAACGAAATGAATACTCTAATATTCAACTAGAGTTGAGTAATTTGTTATAGTTATATCTGTAAGAAGAAATGTTTTGAAAAGACACTTTTTAACGACATAGCCTACGACTCGCATTGACGGGAATGTCCGATCTGTCCGCTTAATATTTTACGGCAGGTGCCAGTACACATTGATTCATATCAGATTTATTTCTGCAGGCAGCGCTCTTGACATCTCAGACGTGTCTCTGATAAACCCAGACCCGGTGGTGTCTTCGGCGACCCTGCCGTCTCTCCTGTGTGTGAGCAGTGACTGGACCGGTTCTGGCGGCTCCAGTTCGCTGAGTTTGGGCCACGACTATCCTGATGTGGACGCTCATGTGTTGAGCTCTGAACCGGACCCAAGCCGCCACTCTGCCGCAAAAGTCACGTGGATTTCCCGCAATCACACCTTTGGAGCTTTTTACTGCCAAGACAAAAACTCAAACGGGAGTAAAATCTACACCTACAAGATGCTCTATGAAGGTGGTGGATCGTCTTTGAAAGGAAATACTTGTTTGTAATGGCACTGGCCAGAACTAAGACATCATACACTGGTAAACTGATCATATGTTGTTGTTTTTTTCCTTTTTCTTCAGCTGACTTCTACCCTGAATCTCTGACCATCACTGTTAACAAAGGTGAAGATGTTAAACTCTCTTTCACGACAAAGAAATATTTACAAGAGGACATAGTCATCTATAAAAACGGTAGGAACTCTGAACATTCAAAAATCTCATGAACAAACATCTGTGCATTGTTTTATTGTGACATTCCTTGAGAAATTACATTTACATTTAATAATTTAGCAGATGTTTTTATCCA